AATCTGGTCTCTTAAAGAAAACATCTGCCTGTTACTTTGACCCAATAATTATTAACAATATAAGAAACACTCTACCACTGAACACCTGCCAGGACTCTACCTAAATCTTTTAAACAGCTATAAATTAGAAGCTAGCCAATTCCTATAATTGACGAATAGATTGGTCCCAGTATGTTATCACAAACAATGCAACAATATTTTTTAAAATATATTTTTATTGATTTCAGAGAGGAAGGGAGATAGAAACATCAATGATGAGCATATCATTGATCGGCTGCCTCCTACATGCCCCCTACTGGGGATCGAGCCCGCAACCCAGTGGAATGCTTCAAAGACTTTACATTTTTTTAAAAATATTTTTATTGAGTTCAGAGAGGAAGGGAGAGGAAGAGATAGCAACATCAACGATGAGAGAGAACTATTGATCGGCTGCCTCCTGCACACTCCCACCGGAGACTGAGTCCACAACCCAGATATGTGCCCTTAACTAGAATCAAACCTGGGACCCTTCAATCCTCAGGCCAACGCTCTATCCACTGAGCCAAACCAGCTAGGGCAAGACTTTACCTTTTGGAAATATGCAAAATTATCTCCTAAAGGAATTGTCAACTTACAAACACTAACTAATGACATAGAGCTTCAAAACCTTTGGAATTTCCTACATGATTCAGTGTCTCTTGCAACCAAACATACTAGAGGGTTGGTAATTTCAACTCCCACCACTTGGCCTCTAAGAAACATAGGGAACTGAAGATTGGTTTATAAAGTCTGGAAAAATGATAATCACAGAACTTCCCTGTTTGTGAAACCATCAATGTGCATGAGGATGGCATACTGAGAAAGTATGGAAGCTCTTTGCCATCTCCTTCCTTCCCCACAGCTTGGCTTATGCATCTCTCCCAATTTGCCCATTTCTGTGTTGTATCCTTTGTAATAAACTGGTAGTACTACATGCTTCCCTAAGTTGTTTAACTAGCAAGTAATTAAACCTCCAAATTTAAAAATAGGCAAGTGTGGGTAGAATAGGTCCCCCCTTACATTTGCCATATGATGTGGGGAACAATCTTGTGGGATTGAGGCTTTAAACTGTGAATTCTGTGATAATTCTAGGCCTTAATATTTAGTGCATGAACTGACACACTGCGACACACTGGCCAGAGCAAAGCCCTACACAATTTGGTGTCAGTAGAAAACATCACTGCAAGTAACTACTTCTCTTCACTTCTTAAGATTTCTTTCTAGCAGACAGCTACAATTAACAGAGGTGGGTTGAGTTAAACTTTAAGGACCACAGAACTTTTGCATAATAGAGGGAACAAGAATTTGGGAATAGCCACTTGTAATTGGCTTTTCACAGGACTATTACTTTGCGAATCTGTAAAACAAAACATATAATAGTTAAATTTAAGTCCACTTTTCCATATTCATATTAGATTTTCTAGTTTAAATTCTAACAGAGACTACTGTGCTAGATTTTTATTTCTCAGAGATTTTTTTAAAATATATTTTATTGATTTTTTACAGAGAGGAAGGGAGAGGGATAGAGATCCAGAAACATCGATGGGAGAGAAACATCGATCAGCAGCATATGCCTGGTCCGGGGGTCAAACCCACAACCTTCCATATCTAGATGACGCTCTAACCAATAAACAACCTGACCAGCACTAAGAAAACAAGAATTTTTAAAATGTAAAATATATAAGCCCTGGCTGGTTTGGCTCACTGGATAGAGCATCGGCCTGGGGACTGAAGGGTCCCAGGTTCGATTCTGGTCAAGGGCATGTACCTTGGTTGCGGGCACATCCCACTAGGGGGTGTGGAGGAGGCAGCTGATCAATGGTTCTCTCTCATCGATGTTTCTAACTCTCTATCCCTCTCCCTTCCTCTCTGTAAAAAATCAATAAAATATATATTTAAGGCTGTTTATTGATAAGCATAGATTACTATAATGTGTGATGTATTCTCTCTGTATTTACACATTTAAAACTTAAAATATCCCTGAAAAGTTTTTGCAAATGTGCATTAGAATCTGTCCAAAAATAAGTTATATATGTAGAAGTCATATACATTTTTCCAGATTTTTACTTCAAAATCTTAGTGTAATACTTTTTTAAGATGTTTTTATTGATTTTAGAGGTAGAGGGAGCGGAGAGGGAGAGAGAAACTCTGATGATCAGCTGCTTCCTGCATGCCCCCTTCTGGGGATAAAGCCCACAATCTAGGCATGTTCTATGACCAAGAAATCAAAACCAGCAATCTCTTGGTGCAACTGAGCCCACCCACACAAGCCAGGGCCTCAGTAAAATCCTTAAAATTTTCAATACCATGGTATTTGTTAGAGATACAAATATTCACATAGCAATATTTCAGCTATTGTAAGGAGGCTTGATTTCCTAGTCAGTGCAAATCATTATCTCAAAAATGTCAGTATCTTAAGTTAAAAATTTGGGGGAGGAGGGTAGCTCCTAGGACATACAAAATATAGCAGTATGTTTGCAATGTCCAATTTTAGCTCTAACTCTAAATAGCTTAGCCAGAATTCCACCTTCACTATCATCACTTTCAATGACAGTGAGATTATTATCCATTCTATCCCCTCAGCCTATGCCTCTCCCCCAAGTATCTACACTAATAAAAGAGAAACATGGTAATTAGCGTCCGTCGCTACCCTTCCCATTGGCTAATCAGGGAGATATGCAAATTAACTGACAGCCAAGATGGCGGCCGGCAGCCAGGCAGCTTAAAGCGAACATGAGGCTTGCTTCCTTCAGTGACAGAGGACTCCAACGTTCCCCCGCCTGCA